CCTCAAACATTTTCAACAATTTTAAGAGTGAAAAAAAAAATCTCAGGGAGTCTATTCATAACAAGTAGAACCGCATAGGATATATTCATAGTAAATAGATCTATAGGGGGTCTGTTCGTAATTAACCCTAAAAATATAGTATGCATCTATTAATAAACAGCATGGTATATAATCTGGCCAATCTATTGAGGTACTGATGCAAGTTCAAATTGTTTCGTAAAGTCAAACACCTAATTATAGGATTTAATTAAGAAACAAAAACCAGTCATGCCTTGTTGATTAGCCTAGATTAAGTACAATATTCTTTACGAATATCAATGTCGATTCACTCAGATTCTTTTAATATCCAGTGAAGAGATAGATTATTACTTGTTTCGGGGGTTTGACCCCGTTTAAGTAATTAGATGCCCATGACTTATCGGATGGGCATATAATTTGACTAAATCAATGTCAAGACTTAAACAAGATTGAAATCTGAAAGAAATGCTGGCATGTTGTAGTCGGACTATTGCAAATAATCTATTCCTCTATAATAACGGGAGGATCCAATATTCACTATTCATGCTACAGTAAATTACTGTAGTATAAACAGGAGGATCCGAGGTTCATCATTTATGTTACATAAATTACTGTAGTATTATTACTGTAGCACAGGCGGGGCTGCAGACGTAAGGAATATTACCGTAACAATATTACTGTAGCTCGTGTGATACTATAGCATTTAAAAAATGTTGCTGTAGCACTTGCAAAACTGTATTTAAATATAAAATTACTGTAGTGAAAATAAAAAAATGGAGGTCGTGCTTTGCACGGGGTGCACACTAGTTATGTGGAATAGGAGCGAGATGTGAAGACCACTCCACGTGCTAAGCAATCAGGCAGGTGAGCATACAAGACCCTAAAAACTTTCACAGACTCTTCCTCTCGAATTTTGGACTTAAATTCTCTCTTCTAATAAAATTGTTTATTTTGATTTCGGGAAGTAAACTAATAATAGAACTGAGTGTATAATATAGTTATGCACCTCATAATTAATATCAGATAACCATGCATATATTGGAGTAGCACTATATAAGGAATATTAATTAACAGTAGTTCTCTATTCAGTATAACATGCATCCAAGGATGTCTGAACCATTGAAAGGAATCTATATAAACAAAAATGAAGAAGGAATAAGTTTATTATTCTTTTAGGAAAAATGCTTTCAGGTAGCTCTTAATTAGTTTCCTCATAATCTCATATTACCATATTGATGTAGCATTGTATATAAGGCATCAATGACGGAGCTACGCCATGCCTGCCAACCCACCCAAAAAAAAAAAGCAACATATATAGCCTTAAATGATATAGGTTTTATTCATATTACTCCCCCGCATCTTTGATATATGAAATTGGTAACAAACATAGCTTGTAACTAGGGGTGTGCAACGGTCGGTTCGGTTCGGTTTTTACCAAAATTTGAACAACCGAACCGAACCGCCTATATTTCAAAACCGAACCGAACTGTTGCAAGTCGGTTCAGTGCGGTTCGGTTCGGTTTGTTCGGTTCTAACTTCATCAAACTTCTTATCAAACAACAAATTGTGTTAAAGAAAAAAAGATATTAACAAAGTAGGAGATTATGAAGCATTAAACATTGATATAATGATATTGTTTTCAACCCATAATAATTCAGAAAATAAGTTTAGGGTTTGAGTCTTTGACTCTTTGGGGATGAGTCGGGTAGAGTTTGAGATCAGAATAGGTAGTATTGCACTATATTTGGTCGGTTCGGGTCGGTTCGGGTTGAAAAGTTTTCAAACCGACCTGAACCGTCCTACTCATAAAACCGATTTTTCTAGGTCGGTTCCGGTCGGTTCGGTCGGTTTTTTCGGTTTGGACCAAACCATGCTCAGCCCTACTTGTAACCTTATATATCAATATACTTTCCATGCATATTACCCCCCTACATCCTTCGTGCCTGAAATTAATCCCCCACATCTTGCATATTTGAGATCCACTCCTTAAATCTTTATATAAATTTGAAAATAGTCCAAAATTTTTAAAGTGTTCTGAAATTAATTAGTTCTTCTAATCTTTTGGGGACTATTTTATCAGGGGATTTAAGTTCAAAATCACCAAATCACATAACTAGCCTAGTATAATTTGAAGTGCATATATATCATTTCTCAA